TTTGCCTTCCCATGGATGGAAAGGAAACACAGTGCATTTCTTTGGGTGCAGTTTATCTGCACGTTGCAACAGAAATTTGGTTATTAACTTACAAAGTTACAAAGTAGCAGTAGCAAAACAATGATGAAATCCCTTTCCACAGTACAAATGGAAACACTGTTTGAAAGATTTCCTAGCCTGTCTTGGCAAAGAAACTCATATCCATGCCCAAGTGCGTTCCAGATTGGGACTCAATGCAGGAAGGAAGCGACACTAAAAAGATAAGGCGTTAACCTTAAATTCTAACAAATAACACTTAGACTTTCTATTGCTTGATCCAGTAAGAGAAGTTGGTGGGAATCATTCCTATTTTAAGGTTGGTGTAAACCTTCTTGTTGTTAGAATTTTCTTTCCGGCTCTTGTTCTCTCTAATCTCTGGTGAGGAACAAAGAATCAAAGAACTTGTTGACTAGGCAGTTTGACCTGCCTACAGGTCATTAAATTTAATTCCGGTGTTCCATTCAATCTTTGCAAAGAATATATAACCTGGCAAAAAAATTATAACAGATTCTTCTCAATACCTGCGAGTTCTTGAGCACGGTAAGGAGATTCTGTCAACTGAGTAGCCGTTGCTTCTTCTAGCAGTTTAATCAAATTCTTGTTCCCACACATCTGACCTTCATCTAGTGGGGTATTTCCCCATCTGCGGGGGGTAGGGAGAAAACAATCATATAGTGTTATTGCAGCAAGAAGAGAAGCTACTATATAACAATTGAAATGAAAGATAGAAACGTGTCAAAAATTAGGGTAGGAGGAAAGATGCTAGACAAACTATGGAGTAGGCGACATTATGTATCTCAACCTAAGGGTACAATTGTAGGAGGTATGAGCTATAGCCAGCAATGGCAAGGGGTTGGATCTATAAGGTTTAGATTCTAAACTACATGTCAAACAATACTAGAGAACCAGCCTAAGAGAAATTACATTATGGCAGTGAGTTTCTCATTGACAAAATGGACAATATATGTATATATATATATATATATATGGAAGCTATCACAATATCAAAGCAGGAATTAGACAGGAAGGTGAGCAGGTAAAGTTTAGTTCTCCAAGCTCTATTACTTGAGAAACCAAAGCACTCCATTAATGAGTTCGAGACTTGCAGACAAGGGAAATAGAAGCAAGAAAAGTGAAGAGAAAACACCATTGGTCCTGTGTAAGTTTCAATATGCATGTTCTAGAGACTAGAGTGTTGCAGTGCTTGTCATAATTTTGGAAGATGAAAATAAACACAGGTAAGTCCAAAACATTTCTAAAGAAAAACCTGGCTCTTAATAAAGGTCAGATAATCGGCTTTAAGATCCAGGGGAAATTTTACAGTGATTTCCCTATACTGATTTATCCGAAAATTCAAAAGATCATTTGTAATTGTTTAGGCACTAAAAGAGGTGCATGTAGGTTGACGGCCATGGAAATGAAACAAAACTTGTTACAAAATGCAGATAATTAGATCTAACCACTGAAGTCTGACTATATTTAATACTCTATAGACCCTACCTAGGAAACATTATAAACAGAAACGGTCAAGATATGTATGCATCCAACAAACGGAAATGAATTTTCAACCTGTCCTTTGAGAAAACGCTAGCCCCAGCTTCTAACAGCAACTTTGCCATCATATATAATCCCTCCGAGGCAGCTACATGAAGTGGGGTCCGGTGATCATAATCTTTGGAGTTCGGGTCAATGCCATTTGACAATAACCTTTTAATGAAATCTGAGTCCCCCTTGGTAATGGCTGTACATATAAAACTACCAGCATTGTCCATCTTCAAGGAGGCCCCTTCTTTAATAAGTAAAGAAGAAACTCGATCGTTGCCGTTTTTTATGGCTTCAAGTAAGGGTGTGTTCCCAAAAGTGTCTAGAAAAAATAAACAACTTATTATAGCGTGGTACTACGATTGGGGTAACAGATAAAACCATATTTGGATTCTTGTATCGTAAAATTACCTTTGATGTTGATATCTACGCCTTCCTGAATAAGGAAAAGTGCAATATCTTCATGTCCCCTTAATGCAGCAAGATGCTGTAGAGAAGAAAGACTCCTTTCAGACAAATCTATCTCACTTCTGCTCATCTTTAGAAAAAATATCAAACTAGTCTCAAGTCTTTTTACGAATTCTTTTCTTGTCAAAGAAGCTTTTTACCATCGGTATTACATTTATTACTTAAGGGCCACATCTTAAAACTTCATTAAATGCATTCCATAGTCAACTCCTGAAGTTGGCTAAGCCCTTTCTTTAGCAAAAACTTTCACAACGCACACACACCAGATAAGTCATAGATGCATTCACAATGATAAATCTAAAAAAATTCATAACATTTCATACCAATGGTGACCTTCCATCATAATCTGTCTTGTTGGGATCAGCTCCAGCACGGATCAAACCTTTTAGCTGGAACAGATCTCCATGATAAGCCGCACTATTGACCTTCAAAGCAAGTTCAGCTTCTTGCTTTCCAATGTGAAATGAAATGTCTGATTCTAGTTGTTTGATGCGAGGTGCACCCTGTAACATTTTCAGCCATATGATGGACACTCATTGATCATTTAACATCAAGTTTGTTTGAAAAAACAAGAGGAATATGTATTCAAAACATTGCCACACAGTTATAGGCACATTACAAAAAGAATATAAATCACCACAGAAAACTTACCTCTAGAAGGTTGTTCAAGATTTTCCTCCCATCATAAAAATATATGTCAAGGATGCTTGTGAAAGATTGTTTATCTAGTCGCAGAAGCCTACATAACTCACGCACCCTAACTGTATAAAGTTGGGGAATGTTGCAAAGAATGGAGATTTCTCCAAATGAGCTGTTAGGTTCCAATTGTGAAACAGTTTCTTCTGTTCCATCTTCCACGATGCCTACCACCTCCTGTACAAGAATATTTTTGTTAGTCTCATAGCAGAAGGGTCATACCAATGTGATGCGAGTTCATAAAAGTCTGTTTTAGATGGGGACAGCAAATAGACATGTAACTTACGAATTGTATGAGGAACGTCAAACCATTATGAATTGTATTTATTTGTTAACCAGTTAGTATGCAAAAAAACTAGTTCTCATGGCACCAATTTTGCGGTCAATATCAGTTAAAAAGCTGACCAACATAAAGTTGATAATTCTCATTATCTGGTTTTTCTCCATTAGCAAAAAGTAAACTAAAAATCTGGTTTTTCTTAGAAATATTGTTAGTCCGGCCATTAGCTCTCCTTTTAACCTTCTAAGAAGCCAAACCAGCATAGCATGACACCTCTACCACTATGACCTACCAGTTGTTAACTCCAATTGGTCCGTACAACTACCATCGCCATGGCCAGTGACCCACAACCATTACTACACCTACCAACATCCACACTTGTGTTGTGCCATCATCACTACCAGTACACCACGACAACTGCAGCCCTCTCTATCATTGCTAGTTCTACCAGTCACTACCAAGTGACACTACTTCGACCTTTGGACAGTCAACACTCTTTACCACTAGCCAAAAACTCACCACTAATACCCAGCTTACCATTATAATTGCCACCGCTGCTTCTACATATCTTGATTTGTGCAGAAAATTAGAAATATAAAATTGTAAACCAAGTAGCATACAGGTTACAACTAGGACAAAACTTATTTCGGAGGACAAACTGCATACAGGTTTAAACTTGTATGAATTGGTTGAATTAGTTTTCAAATTTGATCACTGACTCTAGATTATTGAATCATACCAGCAAACCATGACAGACGAAATAAAGTTGATCTACCACGTTTCCAGGTTCCATTATCACTTCTCCAGGGAGAAAAAATTCCTCATGGAGTTTAATAACCTGCAAAGAAGAAAAGAATAAGAATAACCCATTTCACTAAGTCACACAAAGCAGGGATATCCACGGAGCAAGGAAGATCCTATTTAACATTACATGTGGTGCTGCACATGAAACTACCGAGTGTTAGACACAACTGCACCATGCATACAAATAGCTGCTTTAAGGTGGCTTTCTTCTCATGCGCAAGACAGTAAACCCTTATATCCCATCCCATGTATTGTTTTTCAGAGAAGGTGAAAGATCAAAAAATTTCCATGCAACAAAGTACAACAATTTGTTGAATGTTTCCTAGGGTACAAGAAGAACCAATCCTACATGTTTGTTATTGTCTATGATAACACATTAGCCGCCAATGAAGCGTATAAACAAATTGGCATTGTACATTTGGAGCAAGATCCAACTATCAGTGTTTCACGCGAACATGCTTTGTCATCTATTTGTGCAAATGGAAAAATTTACTTACAATCTGATTGATGAATTCTGCCGAGCATCCCTTGAAGAGAGGAACACTTTCAATGTACGGGAAATATAAAGTGTGTGAAATCTGCAACGAAGAAACAACTCATTTTGAGGATACACAAGTCTTTTTTAAAACATACACTCAACTAAAATCCCATGATGTACAACAGTCTGAATAATGCATACAGATTGGAATGAAGGAAAAAAGTTTCTGAACCTTTAAAGAGGAATGGACATGAGGTATCTCCTTTAATAAAAACTACCAAGGTTCCTCTGGGTGTGTGGCCGGCCGCTTGTGTGTGTTCATGTGCATGCATGTGTAGATAGTAATGAACAACAAATTTTACATTAACCTATTAGTCTTGCAGCTGTTACACATTAATTTACTTATCCATTTAACAAAAACCAACAACCCAAGTGTTTCTAGAATATGCATATGAATTAAGTTGAAATGCTTCTCATATAATTTACTGTAACTAACTCAAAAATAGAGAAAGTTGACAGAGCTTTTATTCCTATTTTACCTTGGCGCGAATTGAAGCAGGAAT